GATGGAGAGTACTTTTAAGGAATGTGATAATTTATTTTAAAGTTATTATGTACATTTTCGAAAAATAAATATATTGTAAAAACTTTTCAGACACCCTACGTATATATCCGAAATTTTATTAGACCTTTTATTAGACTTTTTATATTAGTATACATTTTTTATTAGACTTAGCATATACACAGTAACGAAGGAGACCGGGCAGACACTTTTCTTCGTTATATCGAGGGATTCGTTATACCCGGGGGTTTTCATTTGTATATATATATAACTATCTAAATATGGCAATACGCATTGTTATATGAAGAAATTCTGTTATATCTTTATTGTAGACGTATGTAATTCAATATTATTCAACATTTACAAATTCAAATTCATCAAGTATTGTCTGACGTGCCAATTCTAGACTGTTTTGTGATATCATTCTTCTCAATTTCGTCAAACATCTAACAACAGACAATTCTACTCCAAGATTTTTCTGAGCAATATACGCCAAAACACTTTCAATTCCAACTAAAGCCTCTGAACTAGTAACAATCCGTTCTGATTGCACGCTTTCCTCTTCTTGAACCTCAATTTGGTTGATAGTGTCAACTATTTGTTGCATTAAAGTATCATCGTCAGCGTTATTGTTTAAGTCAATAGCTTTGTCGATATTTATATAATTTTTTACGCTTATTGGATTATCTATCGGCAATTGTTCAATGAGATTAACAATCTTAATTTCAGTTTCATGAGTTTCGTACGGAATAGTATCCATTTCTTGTTCAAATATGCCATGTGGGAGGATGTCAGCACAACGCCAAGAAGACATTATAGTCTTAGATGTTACCTTATCCCATGCAGAAACGGAAAAATTAATTGCATCCAAAATTGTGAGTTTCGGAGCTGCGGCACAACTGATAAGACGAGCATCATATTAATCAATTAGATATGAGCACAAGATCTTGCGATATTGAGCCTAAAGTTTATTAACCAAATAAGTTTATTTCATTAAAAAACGCGCATAGTAATAAGCCTGACTGAATAATTAATACCTTCAGACTGTATATTATGCCTTGGTCCAGAGGTTGTAGTTGACTAGTGGTATTCGGTGGTAAAAAAATCACTCTAACATTTGACTGTTCGAGATCATCAGTTATATGACTTGAGACATTATCTACGAGTAAGATAATTTTTCGATTCTTCTTCCGATACATTTCATTCAGTTTATTAAGATAATTAGCGAAGATTGACCGCTGCATCCAAGCTGATTTATTGTGATAATACCAAACTCCCAAAGATTCTTTATCAATACCACGCATAGCTCGAAGATTTTTAACATTATGAACAAACAAAAGTGGCAGCTTTTCATCTCCAGTTGCATTGCATGTAAGTAAAAGAGAGACACGATCTTTTGCCAATTTTTTTCCACTGACTGGCCCGTGAGCGAGAGTTCTTCGCAGTTCTAATTTCCAATATAGTCCAGTTTCATCACAGTTAAATATGTCGCATGCATTATAATCAGCTAAAATTAATTTTAATTCGGACCTCTGTTGCGGTAAAAGATTACTATTAACACCTCCTGCTTCACCACATTTTTTGTAGGATTGTAAGTTATTTCTTTTTTTAAATCCATGCAACCACCCATTTGCTGCACTAAAATCCTGGTATTCAAACAATATGGCAAATTGCCTTGCCTTTTGTTTTATAACATGGTCTGTGAGTGTTATGTTATCGCGAGCAGCATTTTCGATCCAAAGACCCATTGCCTCTTCGATGTTTGGATAATCACTTTGACGACGACGTTTCGCTCTTCCTGCTAACGACGTTTCATCAACATTAAGCCAATGTTCTTTATTTGTCAATATTTCACTCACTGTAGACTCCTCACAATGAAAAAGTCTAGCAAGTTCTTTGTTGGTAAAAGAAGGGTTATTTAATTTTTTCTGGCATAGGTCTTTTTTTTGCGCTCCAGTTAATGCTGCTCTGGAATTTTTGGTTTTATATTTCGCGGTTTCAGTGACAAAAGAATCAGTAATTTGAGCACTTGACAACTCCATTCAGAATTAGATAGAAAATACAATCGCAATTCGACGAAGACTTTATTAGTGACTATAGACAATAAAGGTTGTACAAAAAGTGTATAACGATGATAGCCTTTATACAATGAAGAAATTTGTAGTACAAGATAATATATAACGATGGTTGTACAAACATCGGTTTATCGAGGGCATTTTAAATATGATGGTGCGGGGGTTGCCTTCGGTATATCCAGTATCGAGGGATTTATAATTAACTTCGTTATAATACTATTAAAAATTTCCGTGCAGCAAAAAAACTTCGTTATAAGCCAAATTTGTTATATCCGGGGTTCGTTATATCCGGTTTCACTGTGTATCAAATTTTTTATTAGACTTAGGTATATATATAATTTTTATTAGATTTATTGTGTGCTAGAAAAGTAGTGATGAAACAGTTTTAGATGGAATTCTGCTATATCAAATAATATTGGTATGCAATTTAAGCTTGATTCAGGTTATAGAATGGATCAGAATAATTAAATTCACACCCTTCACTGCTTCTCCTAGTCTTTTTTAATGACAAGCTGTATTAGTATATCATATCCCTTTTGATATGGATTTGGGTGAAAGAATACGTTGTAGATATGATATGCTCTTTGGTGTTTTTGAGTCTTAAATGATAGCAAGCTGTATATTTTAAAAAAATGATATCCTTTTTGGTATGAATTTGGGTATTTGATTATGTTCTAGATATATATAAAAATGATGAGCAAACCATTTTTTCAACACATAGGAACCATATTATACAGGATCATGCTCTAGAGACTTGAAAAGCTTAAATTGATATATGAAATTGATGTGTTATTTGACGTTTTTGAGGTCATTGCTATGCAAGATGACTAATGGTGTGCCAGAAGTCCCATTTTTGCTCTACTACTACTGAGAGTATTGTCTCATAAAAGAACAAAATGAGATTGGATTATGTTTCAAATGTGCAGCTGCATATAAACGTCATATAAATGCATTCTGTTTTGAATGTAAAACACCACGACCTCTTGACTGGACTACAGGCAACAAATCTTTGGATTCATTTATCATGGAGTTGTGAACGTGATGGGCCTATCCTGAGGGTTCTTCTCAGCATCGCTTCAGTGATGGGCTCCATGTGATTAGCGCTATAAACTAAAGC